CGTGGGACTATACTAAATTATAAAGTAAGTTAGTATAAGTAGCCTAATATACTAAATAGACCTCCCGTCTAAGCTATATATTTATAATATATTTAATATAAGCTTATTAGAACTATACTATAAATAAGAAGGGTAAGAAAATATAGTAGATAACTTAGTGCTATAAGGAGAAGAGGAATATAAGGTAGAGGAGATTATAGGGCATAAGTACTAAGGAAAATAACGGTTATTCTAGGTAAAATAGGTGGGCTATAGAGAAGAAGAGAACTTATAGCTATAAAGGAGTAACTTTATAGAGGGGGAAATAATTAGGGAGTATAAAGATAGTCTATAAGGATAATAAAGGAAGAAAGGAAGTAGTAGTAAATAGACTATAAGGTTATAGGGAGATAGAAATAAGGTAACTAATTATAAATTAATAGTGAGTTCTTAATAAGTTTATAGAGTCTAAGTCCTTTAATAAAGTAGCGAGGTAGTAGTATCTTTATTATAGATATAGTAGTAGGGAGTAGGGTCCTTAGTTATAGTGTAGTAGCTATAATATTACTATATATTAGTAAAAGTAAAAAGATAAATAAATTCCTAATAAGAAAGGTATAATATAGTTATAAGGGGGTAGTAAGGACGCCGTGAGCCTACTATTTAGGGGTATAGGTGTACTTAGGATTATTATTAAGATAGTTACTAGGAGGAGGCTATAAGCTTATAGTTAATAGAGTAAACTACTAGATAGTTATAATAGAGTTAAGGTAAGGATGTAGATAAATAGTAATAGTAAATACTTTAAAGTTATAGTTATTAGGTAGTATAGGAATAAGGCTAAACTTAATACTAAAGGAGGTATACTAGTAGTGGGTTAGTAAGTAAGGAGTAGCTAAGAAGTAGTAGGTAACCTATAGTGATATAGTATAAGCTAGAAGTGAGGTAGTAGAGATACTCTAGCTAGGATATAGTAAGGGTAGTAGTGTACTCGTAGTTAGCTTCCTATATAGTGAGGGTAGTATACTTAGTAGTAGTAGGAGATGAGGATACTATAAGGAGGCTAGTAGTTACCTATAAGGTAGTAGTGGTAGTAATAGACTATAGGGTTATATTTTATTTAATATAAGGAGGCTAATAATAGTAAGCTACCTACTTAAATATAGTAAGGCTATAGTAACTAGTTAGGATTTAATAACCTAGGGTAGTATTAATAGACTATAGTAGGTTAGTAGTAAGGTATTAGTAGGGTAGTAGTAAATATATAAAGATAGTAGTACTATAGTACTAGTAATTATAGAATATATTATAAACTTACTACTTACTTATAGTAAGTATAAGGTAGTCCTTATTACTATATAGATACTTAATATACTTTATAGACCTAGTTATAAAATAGTAAGTTAGTAGTAAATAGACTAAAGGGTTATAGTGACTTAACTAGCTTAAGAGTAGTAGTCCTTATGATTTTTAGTCTTATATACTATATAGTAAAGGTAATAACTATAAGTATAATTAAAGTTATAAAGATAAAGTAAGTTAGTAAGGAAGAAGTGGTGGAGGTAGGAGTATATATATAAGGCTATAGTTAAAAGTGCTAAAAGGAGTATTAGTAAGGGAGATAAAGAGGGGATATAGGAAGGAACCTACTTAGACGTGGTAAGCTAGGCTACTATAGTAATAGCCTTAGGGATAGGGACCTAAGTGGACCTATAAGGTAATAGTAAGTTAGAAGTAGGGAGGAAGTGGGTAGATAACTTATATAATAGTAAACTATTAAGAGGGGGGTTATAGTAAAAAAGGAGTAAGGTAGTAGAGGGATAATAGTAAAGTTATAGTAAAGAGAGGAATTAAACTATATAGAAGCTAGAATATAATAAATTAGTAATAAGGATATAATAATTAGATAGGGATAATAAGATAAGGTAGTAGTAAGGTAAGGGTATAAGGGGAATAGGGAAGGTAAGGGAAATAGTAGGAAGATAGGAGGAAAAAATATAGCTAAAAAGGTAAAAAAACGCAGAATTAGCAATTTAAGGTATATATAATAGAAATTAATATAGGAAAAATATAGAGGAGAGCTAGGAGGAGGAGGTAGTAATAATATAAGTAAGAGGAAGGAAAGAAGCTATAAAGGTAAAAGGAAGTTAGTATATATAGAGTTTAGTAAGGTTAAGGAAAAGAAAAAAAAGAAGGGAAAGGGAAGGCATTATAAAGAATATTTATAAGCTTAAATAATAAAATACGTAATTCTATAGGCGTATAAAGTTATAAAAGAGGAAAAACTAAATATAGATAATAGTTATTATAGAATAGTAAGGAAATAGGGAGTAAATAGAGTAAATACTATAGGAGAATAAATAAAACACGTAAATAGTGGGAGATAAGTATATATAAAGAAGTATATAGTAAGATTAAAAGGGTAAGGGATAAGTGGATATGCTATAAGAACTATATAGTAAGAAAACCGTAAAGTAGGCGCTAAGGAAGTGAATAACGAGGAATAGCGCTATAAGCGAATAAAACGTAATAAGTAATAAAGGATAGACTTATATAATAGGGGATACTATGAGGGTATAGGGATAAGGTAATGAGGTTATAGGCTAATAAGAAGAGAAGTAGGGGAGAGGACGTAAGTAGCGCTAGGGATAGCGCTAGGAGAGAAGAGGTAGCCTATTAGGGCCCTAAGGGGGCATAGCGTGTATATAGGGAGGAAGTGAGTGGGGATATATAGAACGGGGATACTAAGGGTAGGGTAGAGTCACGTGGGGAACGTATAAGTACTTAGCTATGGCGTTAAGGCGAGTAAGTAGAGATAGAGTAGTAATAATTCCTAGCACTATCATGACTATAGGGGTATATAGCTAAATATAGGCACTCTTCTCACTATGACCTTATACTTATAGACCCTTACTAGAAGCTAATATAAAACTAAAGACACTTAAAGAGATAAGGGTTTTCCTCTAGGGACTCTAGTTTTTCCTTTACTTATAAATAGTAGTAGGACTAGATAGATATATAAGTCTAATTAGTATAATTTAATAATAATAATAATTAATTCTAGAAAATTATATATAATAAAAGAGGGTCTATTAAGATATATATAAGTCTTAAATAAAATTATAAAATTTTAATATATTTTATATATCTAATTTTCTATTTTTAGAAATACTAAATTAGTTACTAAAATACTAATTTAGTATTTAAATACTAATTAAATTAATTAGTAAAAGTATAAATAATTACTAATTAATTTAGTATTAGTACTAAATTAGATTTTAAATACTAATACTAAATTAATTAGTAATAGTATAGACTATTATTAATTAATTTAGTATTTAATTAGTATTTACTAATTAATTTCTAACCCTGACCACAAGTGATGAGTTCTGGAGCCATGTCTCACAATGCCTGTTTCGCACGGGCCGCGTGCTGAAGAAACAAAAAAAAAAAGGGCAAACTTGTGCCATCATGTGCTCTTCGTGCCTCAATAAAATAGCCCAGTTTGGCTGAATCGGCTCAAGGTTCTTGCATCTGTTTTGTAATAATAAACACTCATCTATGCACCTGCTGTGCCGGCGCTCGCCAAGCGTGTCTAGTTGTCTCCCTTTTTTGGCTTCCTAGTTGCATTCCGTTTCCCCGGAGAAGGGATGAAGCTTCTGCAGGTGCGACGAATACGGCGAATTCTACGCTGCCTGGCCAGTCCCAAACTCTGACAAAGCCCCCTTCCTTGTCCGTGTAGTTTGGTAATAACGCCCCAAAGCGCCACCGCCTTGTCAAAGGGTGATTGGAGGCAGTTATAATTAGTGCACGGGCAGGCGTAAACCTGACAGAAACCCTGTCTAGTCATCAGATCAATTGGGAAACCGCGTCTCCCAGAAAAGTGATCGGAAATTTTGCCCCGTCGTAGTATCCGTGATGGAATCAAAGGAATCAGAAAGCGGTTAATCCGTACATGCTCTTGTACAAGGGCCAGTGACGATCAAGGCTGCACCTTTTTCCGAAGCAAGAGACTATCCCGTACTACTGTAGCACTAATTTATCGCGTCGTGTACTGATTACATCAGGATTTGCGCCAAGGAATAAATTTTGTCACATGTAGAATTCTGAGTGGAGTTTGCAGCCAAGTATACGCAGTAATAAGAGGGAAGTTGAGACAAAAGGAAACAATGCAACATACCTAGTTATGGCTCGGACTTTTTTGCCGTTGCTTCAACCCAGTCCGTCCCAAGAAAAAATATAAACAAAAAGCCTTGTCAGTTCCCGAGATGTGACAAAAGAAACATATGTCTGCCTCGGCCAAGCCTACCTTGCACAGCTGATGCAACTTGAACAGGGAAATGGGCAGCTCGGAAAAGGAGGTCCGAGATTGGCTCGTGTCGAATGCGAGCCAAGATGATACAATGTGCAAATTTTTGAGCCAGCAATGACTTGGCGACCGCTTTTGAAAGGGGAATTTGTGATGTTTTAAAGTTTTAGAGAAGCGAAACCTACACCAAAAGTCAAGAATTCAAAGTAACCCAACTTTTCACCGTAGAAATCTTTCGAATGGACCCCGCTTGCAGGCGGCCAAGTTGTAAATAACGGTTTTCGTAGTTAACTACTCCGTAGAGCTAAAGGTTATGGTTTTATGGCTACCAACGTCTGTTTAGCGAGCTTTAGCCTTTGATCAAGTTTGCCAGAGCCAAGGAAGAAGAAAATGCCGAAACTCAAGTCGTGGAAACAAATCCTGTATGGGTGGAATCTAGGCCATAGCATATACCTAACTATATCCTTCATAGCCTATTTACTTGTCAAGCCTACATGATATGTGTGCTCCACTAGTCACTCGATTTGAATGTATGATGAGCCGAATCTCTCGTACGAACTAGTTAGATCTTAGAAAAAAGAAAAAAAAAACATGCGTCGTACGGAACTCGAATCCGTGCCTCAACTTTGGAAGAGTTGAATCCTAACCCCTAGACCAACGACGCGAAAAATTCAGCTTTACCAAAAGACAAATAGTAGGAGCATCCATGGTCCTCCCCCGGCAAGGTTTGAACTTGCGACCTTCAGATTAACAGTCTGACGCTCTAGCCAACTGAGCTACAGGGGAAGAATTTGATTGGTTTTTTGGTTAGCTGAATAGCGACAACAACCGAGGCCAATAGTTAGTTATTAAATTTAATCTCAGAACTTGTGCATCACGTATACATACTAGTTACCATCAACACTTCTTGCGTCTCCAACGCCAGCAGGACCGGATTTCAGCCAGTGTTGCAGAAAATTAAGCGTACGAAAAAGGTCTTCTCACACGTCGTCTTCACCCTACTCGTTCTGCCAGATCATGGTCTCTTCTAGGCTTTGGAAACCACGCTTTTCATCTCATGGTAGATGGCCACCTTTGTCAGCCGCCGCCTCACGATATGACCCTCTATTTCCTGTTGAAGAAGAAAAGACACCGTACTACGACCCCATGCCTTTTTGCCCTGTTCCACCCAGCGAGATGGGCAAGTGCTCAATGAACGATGTCAGCTTTACGAAGAAGCTCGGCTACGGTTTAAGCTTGGCTACGAATCAAGTTCGACTGTATGGTTGGCTCGAGATTTGCTCCATTTTAGCAGTCTGCCAATTTTTTTTTAATTTTTTTTCCTTCAAGAAAGCCGAATGCTAATTATTCCGTCGAATGCGCTGCTTTACGTGAAAAGTACCTCGCAATGAAGAGTAGTGCCACCGCCCGCGATGGGCGTTGAGGTGTACCGGAGATTTGCGCAAGTCTTTACGGCTGTACCGTCGTAGGTTTATTAGCAACGTCACATGTCCGATTATTCTCCAATTGGAAATTCGAATCATCTTCCAAGACCTCTACCATCTGCATTCAGAATGCCAAAGTGCTCACACAGGCGCATACTCTTCTGTGCCAGTCATCCGATCTGTGCTGATTCGGTGCTAGATTCGAACCGACAATGTCATGGTCAAGTTCAAAAGATTTGGGTCTTCTCGAAAAAGACGCGGTATCAGTACCAATTTCCACTGCCTCAAAGGTCATGAATGATTGGGTCATTCATTCATCACAAAATAATCATGGCCAGCTTCTTCGGCCCACTGAGTCATTCAAGTCACAAATTTCCGTCTTTTCGTATCAGGCAATGCGAATAGCAATGACTGTATTCGGGCAGAAGCCTACCGCGCCCCAGATGTTGTCCTTGATGCAGGCTACACGTACACTGCCGGCATGTAGAGTTTGAGAGCCATGAGCGTTCGCGTCCGCGTTCGCGTCCGCAAGTGTACGCGTAGTCTCTTCTTCACTTCATCCAGGACTGTCTTCGGTGGGCGCTTCAACTTGCTGTGCTATATTCTCGTGTACAACCTGAGGGATCTGTTGGAATGACAGAAGCTCCCCTTTGATCCGCATGGTGGCCGGCCTTCGACTTGACATAACTCGAGCAGACTTTCGCGCTTCTGGGGTCGCCACCAGAGCAACTACTACTGTCTGGAAAACAGACAGCCATGTTTTATCAGTCCAACGACTAATTCACAGAGTATCAATTAATGCTTAACCGATACTCTTTAGTACTCTCAAAACCCAACAGAACGCTTCTGAAGGGCTGAGCTTTGAGGAACAGTCAAGCCCTTGGGTGATAGGGAGAAGCAGAGGTAATTAATTTGGCGAAACAGATAATCGGATGATATTCAGAGTCTAAAAGTACAGCTAACGAGCTGCCACTTGATCCCTGGTATTACACGGAGACCTAGTAGCGAAAGAAATCAGATGCATTACACTCTCAAACAATATGTTATAATTATGTTGGGTACGTCGAGCCCATATCAGTCTCTTCCAAGCTGTTACTTCTACACGTCACTGAAGCTTCTCCGCGAGTGCTTGGTGCTACCATCTTTATCTGCAGGAGACAGCGCTTGCATGTGTCTGTGAGCTCGTATCATCCGGTTTCTAGACGTGTCCTACATCTGCCCTCTCCGATGAGCATCAGCAAGCTGCAACCACTACTGTAGAAAAAGCGGCCGTCGCTTCTCATTGAACATTCTTATATAATACATCTCAATGAGTATCGCGCTTCCTCCATTAAAGGTGTAATTTTAATGGGAGCACTCATCTACACGACGCAGCAGAATCCAATGCATCGCCGCGAAGAGCACACGGGAGCAGTGCAATGCAGCCCCTGGAGATTCGCGCCACGACTCAACTCGCGAATAGTGGCATGTTACATTGATTATCAGTCATGGGAGTCTTTAGCTTCAGGTTATCCTGAACATCTTTCTCGTTGCTGCTTTGTCTTTGTATGTCCTATCGACTACTGGCCAGCAGATCAGAGATGCAGACCTCGGGTGCCGAAAGACAGACAGGTACAGAATTACGTGAGATGTAAGAATGTTTTAGTCATCACAATAGCAGCCGTCCTCTCTCTCTCGTGACTTTTAATTGCAAAATCGCGGCAGAACACTGGCTCCTTGCGTGAAAAAGACCTTGTATGACGTAGTACCCTGTATAGCTCAATAACACCAACAACCCAGAAGTCTTACGAAGCTTGAGAGTTTAAGAAAAGGAACCTCTCAGGCTCATTCAGTGGGCTCTGAAGCACATAAAGTTAGCATAGCGGGGGGTTGAGCTGAGATGGCTGCGATCGCGCGCTCCATCTCGTATCTCGTCTGTGAGTAGTTCAGAACATAAATTTACTTGGTAGGTTCTTCTCTTGGTAGTAACGGCAAACATGGTGCTTGAGATGCATTGCACCTTTTCAGGATTGTTAGTCCGCACAGATGTCCAGGGTTAATGCCGAGTCTGGGCGTCTTAGAAAAGGTATACTAGCATCAACTGTTCGGCCTGCAGTGATAACTTTGCTGAAGCCGTGTTTCAGATATTACCGAGGGCGCGGATTTTCCAAGCGTCACGTATGCTTGTGGCTGCGCCGCCTCGCATAAATAATACTTTTCTAGTCCGCTCGTCCAACGGCCTTCCCGTGCAAGTGCAAGGGTCGCCTTGTAACTGGGCAGCAGAGGCTACGATTGCCACCCCCAAAATTTAGTTCCGATATATAGTGCATGCATATACTTTTCGATAGGAGTTTCATATACAGCGGGTCGCATATGCATCGCCAAGGCTGAGGTTGGATGTTGGCTGCTGGGAAGGTATGTCGGCGATTTGACGAAACAATAGAGATCATGTTTACTCTGCGCGACTCAAGGACCTCCCTCTTACCGGTCTACCAAGCTTGCCCAACTTCCTCAAGCTCTACCGAATAGTCGGAGAGTAAATTACCTGAAACGCTGACGAATTCGGCCTCTGTTGGTTGCGCGGCAATCCCGCCACGACTGCTAGCGTCATGACCGTGCGGCACAGTCAGGCGAGCTGCTTGTGTATGAGCAGCACAAAGTAGTCTTCAAACTTGGAATAATTAATATTTAGGCGATGATGCCATGCCTGACTCAAAGCTGGTGATTTGCGCATGTTACGGATTGCTGACCCGGTGCGCCATGGAACGGCATCGGGCTTGGTGTCTTTAATAAGCGATAGCTGGGCACTGTTGTGCATCTTGTATTTGGGTTTCCGCCGGTCCCGAGACTGAAGATACCGAAGATACTGTAACCGAATATTTATTTCTTGCTGTATGTTTTTTTTTCTTCTTCTTTTTTAGAGAGTCGAAGCTGCGGTTCAGCAAAACGGGATGCCACCATCGTGCAATAAGATCAAAGAACCGACGGAGCTTGTTATAATAAAGAGTCCCACACGTAAGACCCTGACAAGCTAGAGAGCATCACGATGCAACGGAGTAGGCTACCCGATTTGTAGTCGCCGAACGAGCCAAGACTTGGGGACTTGTCGTGGAGAGAACTCTGGTTGGTCACCGCAGCCTCGGCGCCGAGCAGGTTAGCAGGCAAGCAGGGTAGTTAGTTGGGTTGTCTTGCGCAGAGAAGCATGGAAGGCCCAATTTAGAGTTTGCCGCTAGTCCGCCTGGCTGGCTTCACTGACAAACGAGTTACATGGACTGACCACTTGTTGGCCGATGTATCCGCGGCTCTCAAGCCGGTACGCAAAAGTCGCGGTGGCTCCGATGTACCAACAGACTGCCAGATGGATGCATCGATGTTGAGCGGGGTCTAGACATGACCGCCGAAGCTATTCAGAATGAAGATGAGAAGATTTTTACACGGTTTTCTTATTGCTAGTGGAGGAATCGGCTGAGGGAATTGCCAGTATCTCACTCTATCTACGAAGGTTGTTGCGAGTCAGTCAGCCGCCGCCCCAATGCCGAACACGACTGGCGGGTGCTACGGGAACGTCTTGACCGAGAGAGAGACGAATGAAGGGAGAAGATATCGAAAGCTGAGAAGAGCAATGTATCCTTGCTAGCTTGAACTTGACGAGCTTTCTTCTTCTTCGTAGCTTCGAGGCAACTTGCCAGACCGTCGCGGAGACAAAACGACTCTACCTTGGCTGCTCATCATGGACGTACATGGATATGCAGCTGCCCGACACACCCCCACCATCAAGGGCATTCTCAAGGACTTGGATGTGGAGACGGCGATTTTTCTCGTCAAGACAATTCAATTCACCGCCAGAGGCCGTGCGTGCATGTAAGAGACCCAACGACAAAGATTGGCGAGGCGGTGGAGGGTCGCTGCAAGGCACCGCCTGATGACCTTTTTCCAGACAGCATCCATCCTGAATGCGCCGGTGTGTTGTAATTGCTTGCATGGCGGGATTTCCGGCGGGATTTCTGGCGGGCTGTGTTGGACAAGGAGGGGTTGAAGGAGGGGTCCAAGGAGGGGAAATGAATGCTCTGAGATGTACGGATTAGCAGAAGCCGAGCTGCAGCGTGCCTGGGCCGGCCATGATTGGCACTCACTACAATGCGGTAGGGAAAAGAGTGGGAAATGGCTCAATGATGATAACATGACAATTTCTACTCATATCGGCCCTCTACTTGGACTGCCCTCAATTACATTGCCATGTTGGAGCTATAATATCGCCTCTTTGTGGGGGGTGGGAGATGGATTTTTAATCCTGTGTCGTGCAGAAGGGGCATCACAATAATCCACCGTAAATTTACGGCGGTTACGATGGAGTTGAGTTGCCAAGATGATGGCATGGAACGA